TTTTTTTTCAACGTGTCATATCTTGAGAAGGAAGCGTCTGTTTTGACTAAAAATTTTAGGGTATTCTATAGACTATGAAGTCTACTTATGGACAAACTTTCAGATTGGAATTCCTTTCTTTTGATTCTTCTATATTCTATCCAAGAAAGACTTTTCCAGATGTCATATCGTGACAGTGAATCACATCGGAAATTCAAGACTGATGTCATAAGATAGCTAAATGTAATACGCATCAATGTCAATCACAAAATCAAAACTGCAAGTTTTGTCTATGAACAAACGAAGTCATCAAAACAAAAATTTACATTCACAAAAATTCTTTAATTTTAACTAATTAATTATTTCATTTAGCAGTCAGTTAAAATCGTTTTGTTTCTCGGTCTATAGACTATCATACTACCTTAACCTGAAAAACTATTCGTTTTTGAATGTGGAATTTTGTTACATTTTTTATATCAATTATCATAATGTCTCTTGAGAGGTACATTCGGCTTTTAAGCAGTGGCGTAGCCAGGATTTTGGGCTAGGGGGGGCTCAGCCCCTCAAAAATTTTCGACCCATCTTAGGTATATGAAACTTATCTGTAAACCCAATATAGAGTTGATTTTTGTTTATTCTGATTCTTTCTTCAAAATATAAGCTGATCTAACAAATATAAGATGGCAAAAGATGTTCGATCTTCATTCAATTGAAATAACAACAATAGATGAAATAAATGTGGAAACCTCGGATTTATATCCGAGAGTTATGTGTACTTCAAAAAGTGAATGAGACAAATCAGTCATCCTAGAATATCTGGATATAATAATTAGCCGGGCAAACCTTTTCTATTGACATTTGAATTCAATTGGCTACTGCTCAACCAATAGGATTTGGTGGTGAATACAGCTCACATTTGAACTATTTGGTCCCTGACATACAGAAAAAAATAAAACGAATTACGCAACATGATTGGTCTATTTCGATTTAAATCGTCTTTTTGAGACGATTTATTCGTTAATTCAGCTTTAATTCACTTTGAATTAGTCGGTGTTTGCGGCCTTCGCCTTGATTTACTCTACGAAAGTCGTTTTCCCTATAACTTGATTTCTATTGGTCAGTGCTCAATCAATGGAGCTTCGAGGCAAATAGAGTACAAATTCGAGTTCTCCATCCCGAAAAACCCTGGAGTATCGCCTTTGCGATCAGAAGATAGAGCTCTAATTGTGGATCAATTTGAGCGTGGACAAGAACAGAACCGATTTCCGTTTATTTATCTTTGCAATAGGTGAGTTAGCTTCCTTGTTTCTTGATGCTTTATATACCATTTTGTAGCTCGTGAAATTCTCTGTCGAATGGTATATAATAATTGGGGTTTTATGTGACCATGATCGGGAAAGCCTTTTACAAAAGCAGGGACTGCTTGATCCTCACATAGGAAAGCATAGGGGAAAATAATTATTTTTACAATAACTCACCAATGGCTCGGACACTCATTCTCATCTTCGAACTAAACCGAGATATTGTTGAGACAAAACTGTGTAGAAAATTTCATCATGATTGAACTCTGCTTTCAAAAGTTATCACGTAAACGGCCGGTCGCTCGGCCGGACACACTGACCGATTCTAGAGGGTACTTACTTTTTGAGTACACAAAAACCTTGCTCTTGAATGGGAATAAATATGCTGTTGAACTTTCTTCTTTTTATTCTTCTTTTTTGCTCTTTTCTTGCCTATTTAAACGTATGTACTGGAATGGGCGAAGAGAACTAGCTTGTAAAAATTGATTTTCTTCGTCCATTCCAGTATAAAAATTCAAATAGGCAAGAAAAGAGCAAAGAAGATTCAACCACATATTTATTCTCATTCAAGAACAAAATTTTTTAACTCTAAAAAAAACGTATTACGTTCGAAACGTTAGTTATAATATATATTGTTATATATTTATATTTACATTTATATATTTTACTCTCCATTACTATGTTAAATTTTTATATAATTGTAAATAATAATTTATATAAAATATTTAATAAATTAAGAAAAAGCTAAAATTTTTTTAAAAATGATCAATACAATCTACCTAAGACGTATGAACTTTCATTCTGATTTCACAACAACAGACATCGCTTTACTCTGATACAAACCAATCACTGCAGCCACCTGCATAGCTGAAATAAACTACTCATAACCTAATAAACCTCATTAAAACATGTATTCGCATTTACTGTATTTTCTTTTATTCAAAGACATATGAGTTGCACAAAATTAAATATATATGTTAAAAGGTAAAATTGCAAACACTAATCTATTTTGGTATAAAAAGAATATGTCTTTCTAAAATTTCGCCAGGAGGGGCTCAAAAGTCCGTAGGGGGGGCTCAGCTCCCCCTGGCCCCCTGCTGGCTACGCCACTGCTTTTAAGAGTTAAGCATGGAGAAAGTTGAGTGCAGAAAGTTCAGCATGAGGAACTTGAGTACATGAAACGGTCAGCAAAAGGAAAGTTAAACACAGAAAAAAATTGAATACCAAAAATAATCATACTCTAAAAAAGTGCACTGTGAAATTCGAAAAACATTAACAGCTGTAAGAAATCTCAAAAGGTTCTTCTACGAATACTGAAGAAAAATTGTCACTATCGAAGTTGAAAGATTTCGAATCCACATATAAAACGTTTTTTAGGATCAATCGAACCTGAACAACGCTCTCAAGCGATGTCGAACCTTTAAGGTTTGATATACTAACGGGTTTAGGACAGTTGCTCGTCGGACACTTGCTCGTCGGACACTTGCGCGCGGACAGTTGCTCGCCGGACATTTGCTCGCTAGAACAGTTGCTCGCTAGGACACTTGCTCGACAGGACAGTTGCTCGCCGGATAGTTGCTCGCCGGATACTTGTTCGCAAAACTACTTCGATGTGGATGTATGAATAAGTCACAAAAATAATCCTTAAGAAGAGCAACGGAAAATAAAAAAAGATGAGAACTGAAAAATTTCTATATGGGCAAGAAATGACTGATGTATTTTAATTAATCTTTGAAGTCTGTACGTGAATTTTGCACCAGATCATAAAGTCGTTTGCTCAAAAACTTGTTTTATTCGCTTTGATGGTTCACGACCTGTTATTAAGATAAAGATGAGGGTAAGTGAGTGAAAGTCTTCTTTTCATCTTTCTTCAGCCATCTACTCCGCTCTTAATTAGAGTCCTTTCTGACGTCCCTTATTGGAATCCAACAAGTCCTCCTCTAGGTAGAATAGTTTGGACGACTCCTCTGTACTATCGATTCAGAGCGTGTATCACACACTACACTGTGGGACCAAAATACGCACCAAATCGACCAGCTATGGGAGATAGTCACTGAAGATGATGTGCATGGTGGCGAACTTATCAGGTTTTAAAACAACCGATGGAGGACGATGCTACTTAATGTCGTTAAGTAGACGCATGATTCGCGAGCAAGTATCCGGCGAGCAATTGTCCTGCGAGCAACTGTCCTGTTGAGCAAGTGTTCTAGCGAGCAAATGTCCGGCGAGCAAGTGTCCGGCGAGCAATTGTCCTGCGAGCAACTGTCCTGTTGAGCAAGTGTTCTAGCGAGCAAATGTCCGGCGAGCAAGTGTCCGGCGAGCAACTGTTCGGATCCCACATCATCTATAGAGTCCATGTATGACCTTCGTATATCACCATCTAACTCTGTAAGCGGTCGTTTACGAGCATGCGTGTCCGACCTAGATTTGCATATTTTGTGCTAGTATAATCAAGCTGAAAGAACTATCTCAGTCTCACATTTCAGTCGATTAAACATTGTTGAACATATTTTTAATGTGCTAATGTTTCATTTTTTTAATATCGTGTTTCTCCTTATAATGGGCAGATCTATACGGACATGTGTTCATATCAATCTGTCAGATATGTGTCGAAATTTTAGCTAATGAAATGGTTAAAAAAATGTTGTTCGTTATCATCTTTCTCTTAGAACACATCTGTTACGAATCTTTCAAGAAATCTTTGACACTCTATGTATAAATTTGTTTCTAATGATAAAAAATGCCTGTATGATGTATATTTTTTTCGATAGGATATATTACATTGGTCAGTGAAAATAAAGAGAATGAGCCAACTGACCAAGGTCAATAATTAATAAAATAGATATAAGCAATTTTATCGTTATATTTTTTGTTCATTGTCGACTGAAATGTTCAGTATGTATTGATTCATCAATCTCTCTTCGATGAGAATATACATTAAGAAAGAAGAAAATTATATTAACTCTTAGTCTATGATCACATATGCATGAGTCATCCCTATCAGTGAGAGAATGAAGAAAAAAAATTCTCACTTCTCATTATTTGTACACAAAGTCAATATATCGAATATTGATCAAAAGACACATATATATATTTGTTTGAAGAATATCAACAATGCATTTTCAAGTTAATTTAACAATAGCTACTAGTTTTAGTATGATCATAATATTTGTATTTCATTGCATTATAGAATCTTTACCATTGAGAAATACAATTTTACAACGTTACTTTTTTAGTTGTTATCATAGTTCAAGTCTGTATATACATTGTATCTGCAATAGAGGAATAAGTATACATTTTAGTATAATAATCCAATTATGTACATTGATAATTATTTAGATGATACTATATGTGAATATTTGATTGATAAACAAGATTTTTATTGTCATATTGTATTTTTATTATTTATACTGTTAATGTCATGCCTTGGCAAAAATGTAATGAATTATTTTCGTGATATAATGTTTACATGGTTTGCTGTTGAATATATTATATATAATGTGGCTTTTATGAATTTATGGTATAAAATAGATATGTTAACTGTTTATTTGTTTGTTTGGCAGTTGATTTCACTTGGATTAAACTGGATGCGATTTGAACTTTTTCCACCCATTTTTATCATAGAACAAGGTTCATTTTGCATCATGGTAGCATTGATAGCATCGATAATGAATTTTATATATCTTCGTTATTTACCACGAGAAATCATTTTAGTTGTACTGTGGCTTTTTTCATTATGTGACATGTAAGTTCATGATCTCTTCGGCGTTTAAAAAACAAAAAAAAGATTGATTTATTCGATAAAATAGCTTTGTGTGATAACAATGTATTTATTTATTTATTGTTTATTTTATCATTTAGTTGTATATGTTTACACCATCGTGGTGCTCTTTATATTAGACCGTCAACAATTCGTCGATTGAATATGAACAAAAAACCTCTTGTAGGAGTGTATTATACTAAAGGGATTAACAAGTGGAAAAAAAGTTCTATGCTAGGTACTATAGATTTTATGATCTACAATATCTTGATTTTACTTGTCATACCACAATCTTCATCAATAACAATAAAACTATGTGTAACATTTGGATCAATAGCAACTGTTCAAATCGGTCAATTACTCATGATTTGGTTCCTGTACCATTTCGAAGTCCAATCAGCACCTGGAGTACCATTACCAGTAATCATGGTTTCAATATATATTTTTCTTCTTGATTTTATTATGTTAAATGTTAATCAATGTGTTAAACTTTGATTATTCATCACTTCAAATAAAATAAGCTTTTATTATTTGAATAAATTCAACTTTTATTTGATTCCTTTTTTTTTGTTAAGTTGATTAAAAATCTTCTGAATAAATTGTTGCTTTGAAAAATATGTCTTCAATTAATAATCATTCGTTCTGTTTACTATTCTTAAGGAGGGCTCTCTTAGAAAATCGGATTTTTCAAAAAAATATCGAAGTTGAGTTTTTATCATAGGAAGATGCAGCAAAGCTTCCTCTTTCAGAATATATATTGCTTTTTGGAAAATGACCATATTTTCGAGGAAATTTTCGTGATTTTTAAAGTTTTTCAGTTTTTCCAAAACTGAAAAACTGCATTGTCACTTACATTATCGTTGAATAGAGCATTTTTATATTAACCAGCACCTATTATGTACTTTAAAATGGTCCACTGGAATATATTAAAAATATAC